GGTGGAGACGAAGACTTTATCAGAATCTATGCGGGAGTATAAGAGATTAATCTCAAGTATAAGGTAGATGCAAATAAACACAAACTTGCAGAACTGTTTCAAGTAATGGAAACTCGAGGATAAGTTTTTCAATAGGGAGGGTCTAATTTAGATAGAGAAATGTCAATTATTCTATTTTATTTTTATTATTTATTTAGAATGAGAATTTAATTAGAAATATTCTAGAGTTCTTTTTTTTTCCTTTTTTTTTGGTAAATAAAAAGTTTATATTGATCAACAATGCAAAGTACATCAAAAGATAGGCATAAGAGACAATTAGGTAGTAGTACTACGCTTGCCAATACAACTACTCGATGTCTCTCCCCTAAACAAATCATATATTCTATACAAATTCACAATGTGAGCAAGCAAAAAAAGCACAAGGTTAATGGATCAAAGGTCAAGAACTGGAGCCTGCGATTTCGATAAAATGTCTCTGTGTTGATCACTGTGCCTGATCTTTAAGGAAAGTAATTGATTGTGTACCATACTGATCACATGTAGGGTTGCATTTGTGCTCTTGGACTCATTCCTGAAAATTCTGTTTTTCCTCTCTCTCCAAATCTCATAGACAGTAGTGGAGTGGCATAGTTTTAGCAGAATTGCTTGTAGTGATCTATTTGCCTTAGCTCTCCTCAGTCATTGTATGGATAAGTTGTTTCCAAGGCATACGAGGCCATGCTAGACCACATTTTTGCAAGATTTGACTCCATTTAGCTATAGAGAATGGATAAGCAAAAAAGAGGTGCGGATGGTTTTTTAGCTTCACTCCTGCAAAACAAGCAAGAAGAATCCAAATATTGCATGTAATGTTGCATTTCATCCTGGTGCTTAGTTTCACAAGTATAGCCAACCATAGAATGAAGTTGGTTCTTGGAATAGACTGCCATGCAACACAAGTCTATACCATCTTACCTTGGGAGAAGGTGTGTATATGTTAGCCCAGGCATATTTAGAGGAGAATGAACCACTAGATTCAACTGTCCATTTAACTTTATCAATAACTTGGGAGTTTGGCAAATAACCTGGCATTGAATTCTAAACGTCCAGGAATTCATTAGGAAGGGCATGAGGCCATCTCCACTGTTAATAGACAATGATACTCTCCACTTTAGCATGGGCTGCTAATCTGGAAGCCTGCATTTATGCTATTTGGCTATTTAAGAAGTAATGGGCCATGGGGGAGCCAATTATCATACCAGAGACTAGTGGATCCACCATCACCAATAACATGTTGAATAAAAGGCCAGGTAATCTTTCTAAGTTTCATTAGCTTTCTCCAATTCCAAGAGCAAACTTGTGGGACCTTTAGCCCCCATAAGGTCCTACCTTTGAGATAGTTTGTTTGCACCCAGTCAACCCATAAATTAGTTCTCTCGGTGAGCATGTACCAGATACACCTCAACATCAGTGCCTTGTTGCAATCCTGTAGCTCCTTGAATCTCAATCCACCTTCCTCCTTTGGATTAGTCACCATAGTCCAAGCAACTTTGTCTCCCAAAACTTTAAGATCTGTGCCGCTGCACAAGAAGGATCTTAAAAGCTGTTCAATTCTTCTTAGCACTCCTTTGGGTAGCATCAAAATGCAGAGCCAATAACTTTATATGTTACTCCAAACAGATTTGATAGGTTGTATCCTTCCTGCATAGGACAATGATCTGTTTGTCTATCTAACTGGCAAGTGCCCCAAATTGAATCCCAGGCTTTGCAAAATTTGATCCTTATGCTCTTTTCTCACTCCAGATAGAAAATTTTGACTTTTGAGTGAATTAGCTTTCAAGCTTGAGATTATTTGGAATTTATCAATAGCATTCTTAAGCAGATCAACCGAAGAGGGATCACCCCAACAAAATAGAATGAGGTCATCCGCAAAGCTCAGTTGGACCAGTTTCAGCTTCTTGCATCTCCAATGGTACTTGAATTTGACAGCTGTAGTTATCTCCTTTTTGATCATTTGGTTTAAGGCCTCCATAGCAATGACAAATAGATAAGGCGAACGTGGATCTCCCTGCCTAATTCCTCTCCTACTAGGAAAAATCTTGTAAGTTCTCTATTGAGGCAAATTAAGAATCTAGGAGTTGACATACAGGTGTTTATTCAGTTCACCATTAGANCCATAAGGTCCTACCTTTGAGATAGTTTGTTTGCACCCAGTCAACCCATAAATTAGTTCTCTCTCACTCGTACATGGTCTATGTGGAGTTGTAGTCACGGAACAACGTTAGGACATCGACCTTGAATCTCAATCCACCTTCCTCCTTTGGATTAGTCACCATAGTCCAAGCAACTTTGTCTCCCAAAACTTTAAGATCTGTGCCGCTGCACAAGAAGGATCTTAAAAGCTGTTCAATTCTTCTTAGCACTCCTTTGGGTAGCATCAAAATGCAGAGCCAATAACTTTATATGTTACTNACTTTAAGATCTTAGCCGCTGCACAAGAAGGATCTTAAAAGCTGTTCAATTCTTCTTAGCACTCCTTTGGGTAGCATCAAAATGCAGAGCCAATAACTTTATATGTTACTCCAAACAGATTTGATAGGTTGTATCCTTCCTGCATAGGACAATGATCTGTTTGTCCAAGATTAAATTCTTGACTCTATTTTCTCAATCAATTCTGCAATCCCAAGATATCTAACTGGCAAGTGCCCCAAATTGAATCCCAGGCTTTGCAAAATTTGATCCTTATGCTCTTTTCTCACTCCAGATAGAAAATTTTGACTTTTGAGTGAATTAGCTTTCAAGCTTGAGATTATTTGGAATTTATCAATAGCATTCTTAAGCAGATCAACCGAAGAGGGATCACCCCAACAAAATAGAATGAGGTCATCCGCAAAGCTCAGTTGGACCAGTTTCAGCTTCTTGCATCTCCAATGGTACTTGAATTTGACAGCTGTAGTTATCTCCTTTTTGATCATTTGGTTTAAGGCCTCCATAGCAATGACAAATAGATAAGGCGAACGTGGATCTCCCTGCCTAATTCCTCTCCTACTAGGAAAAATCTTGTAAGTTCTCTATTGAGGCAAATTAAGAATCTAGGAGTTGACATACAGGTGTTTATTCAGTTCACCATTAGATACCTGAGAAAAACTTTGATGAATTTCCAATCAACCATATGATATACATTCTTCAGGTCAACTTTGATAGCACTCTTGGGAGACCCCCTATCCATGTNATTAGATACCTGAGAAAAACTTTGATGAATTTCCAATCAACCATATGATATACATTCATCAGGTCAACTTTGATAGCACTCTTGGGAGACCCCCTATCCATGAAATAATCTCTCATTATCTCATGCAACAAAAACACATTGTCACCTATTCTCTTACTCAGTATAAAGGAAAACTGATTTTCGCTTATAATTGACAGTTACACCACTTTAATTCTATTAGAAATCACCTTTGAGATGATGTTGTAAAGTGTGTTACAATAAGAGATCGGCCTATAATCTCCCAACTGAAGTTGGATTAGTTATTTTAGGCACCAATACTAGAACAGTATTATTAATTTCCTTCAAAAGCTGACATGTCCTGAAGAAATCCTGGACTGCCTCAATTACATCTTCTCCAACCATTGCCCAAGTTTTTCTAAAAAAGCCAACATTGAAACCATCGGGTCTAGGTGCCTTGTTAGGGTGTCAAGAAAAGATCACCTCTTTAATTTCTTCATATGAGATTTCCCTTACCATGGNCTTGTTAGGGTGTCAAGAAAAGATCACCTCTTTAATTTCTTCATATGAGATTTCCCTTACCATGGCAGCTGCTTGTGTATCTGTTATTCCCTTCAATTTGATATCCCTTAGTGCTTCCACTGCCTTGAAGCTACATTGCAATGTATCACCAATTAGCTACTGAAAATGGTCCACCGCTTCTTTCTTGATCTCACCAGGTGTGCCAACCACAGTAAAAAAAAAAAAAGAACTTGTGAATCTAATGTCCACCAACTTTGCAGTTTCATTGCAATTGCTGAAGTCCATCATAGCTTGGTTCCATTTTTCCCTTTCCCCCATTTTTTTCTTGGAGATTGGTAATTGCATTAAAATCCCCCAAACTAGCCCAAGGCTTATTAGGGATAGAAGCAGCATGTTGAACAACACTTTCCCATAAAGGTCTCCTTTCCCTATCCTCATTTAATCCATACACAAATGATACAAAAAAGTTAGCCTTGCTCTCCAAATGTAAGTATAGAGCAGTGTATAACTTGATCATATTCTTCAATCTTTAAAACCTTGAGGATTAAAGTGTTCCAACCAACCCATAACCTCCCAAATGAATTGCTTTGGTAATTATCAAGGTATTCCCAACTTCTAAAAACAGACCTTGTGATTGTTGCCTTATTTATTGTTTTAACTTTTGTTTCCNTTGCTTTGGTAATTATCAAGGTATTCCCAACTTCTAAAAACAGACCTTGTGATTGTTGCCTTATTTATTGTTTTAACTTTTGTTTCCACTATTCCCAGTAAATCCAATTGCTGGTTAAAATTCATTTTTCTCACCTCCTCTAGCTNCCACTATTCCCAGTAAATCCAATTGCTGGTTAAAATTCATTTTTCTCACCTCCTCTAAAAANTGATTGTTGCCTTATTTATTGTTTTAACTTTTGTTTCCACTATTCCCAGTAAATCCAATTGCTGGTTAAAATTCATTTTTCTCACCTCCTCTAGCTTGATAGGGTCATTTAAGCACCTAATATTCCAGCAAGTAAACTTAATCATTAGATAGTTTAAGTTTCATAGGTTTAGATGTTCTAGTAATCTGACTCGATGTGCCTTGGTTTTCCCCGTTACCTAATTGTAGTAATTGACTCCAGTTGGGTAGTTGGGCTGCTCCATTTTTTGAATTAGTTCTCTCTCCTTGGTCTTGAGTTGTCGAATAAACCTCAGCATTTGTAGCTTTTTCAGTTGCAAGAGAATCCACTTTTTTTGATTTTTTTGCTAGCAAGGGTCTCATCAATTGGACTACTGCTTGCTTGCCCTTGGAATGGCCGGACCTTCTTCCTCACCACTTGCTCCATGCGAGTGTGATGTAGAAGCAATGAACTCAAGTTTAGAGTGCTCTCCTTCTTAACATTGGAACCTAGATGCTTCTTGGATGAGCCTTCGGACTGATGCCCAACTTTGTTTTTTCCTTTGCTCTCCACTTGGTTCAGATCAATGGCTAAGGGATTAGTTATGACTACCTCCAAATCATTGATAGGGATGGCTACACTCTCCATGGGGGAATTGAATAGGGTGAAGAGTGTAAATATAAGGACTGAGAGTTGTATTCATGAGTGAGATTACTTTTTGAGTGTTTAGCAAAANCAATGGCTAAGGGATTAGTTATGACTACCTCCAAATCATTGATAGGGATGGCTACACTCTCCATGGGGGAATTGATTAGGGTGAAGAGTGTAAATATAAGGACTGAGAGTTGTATTCATGAGAGAGATTACTTTTTGAGTGTTTAGCAAAAGGAGCATGTAGAAAAAGAGTGGAAAAGATGAGCAGGGTTAACTTTAGGAAAAGGTGAGTATTTTATGAAGTGGGCCAAGAAAATGCTCGTGTGGATTAGAATGATGGAGTGAGACAAAGATGTACTTTTTTTTTTTATCAATGACAAAGATGTAGGATGAAGTTGAAAGATGTAGATCTTAATAGAAAACAGCAGAGAAAGACGGAAGGGATGGACAGATGTTAGCTGCTGAGAGGGATGGAAACTATCAGGGAGGTAAAGGTGGAGGAGGGGACAGAGAGAAAGGAGTTATTTCTCAATATTTATTAAAGAGTTATTTGCTGCCTAAAATCATGTTAATTTTTCTATTTCTATTAGACATTTTTTTTTTGGTAACAATATTAGAATTATGGATTTGCTTCCATTACAGGAACGAGTAGAGTTTTGATTGGTCCTATATATATGTTGCCTTATATAATATGAGTTAATAAATTGAGTAATATAATAATTTTCAGAGCTATTATCTTCTTTCCATGTGGATTCAGAGTGTGTGTTCTATAAATTTAGAAACAGTGACCTTTGTGACCCTTCCTTATTGCTGCGTCATGTTGTTCACTTTTAAGGATATTTTTTATTTTTTAAGGTGTTTAAGTACTTAATTAGTGAACGTTTTTGCATTTTTTTTCTTGCACGAGTTTATTTCATTTTTATCAAACTTTATTACATGTACAATAAAATATATATATATATATATATATATAAGAATATTACTTGTATGTTAAAATTAATAATGATCAGTTTTATTGCATATTGATCAAATTATATGCTTTTACTTTTATAAGAGACAAAAAATTGAGATTACCTCTTACTGGAATTGAAATATTAATGTGTATCTGAACTTGATCTCTCAGTCTTCCTCTTCCTGCAAAACAAACAAACTGCTCAAAATCGAAGTGCTTCGATCGAAGACACTCCGATGTTTAAGTCAATAAAGATAATGAAATGAATGGAAGAAGACCAAGAGAGTTCAGCTTATCTTTCTTCTTGGCTCCTTTTGCTTTTTATAGATGGTCATCCCCTTAGGGTTTTCATGATTCTTGATTCAAGGTGGCACACCTTCCTTAGATTCAGTGATTCAGTTTGAAAAGTTGTTGATATTTCTCCACTATTTTCTCCTGATATCTTCAGTTTTTCTTATTCGTTTATCTGATTGCCTAATTTATAGGCGAATCTTTATCCTTCTGTTTATTATTTAAAACAGCTCGGACATAACGAATGTTGAGCACACTTGATATTTGCCAAACAGATTAAGGGACTTGGTTTAGCACAAACCGATTTCTTCAATGGCCTTGCCAAACACTTTAACAGACTCGACTTAGTACAAGCCGAACTCTTTCATTGCTTAGCTGAACAGACTGATGAGTTCGGTCATAAAGAGAACCAAATTTTTTCTGCCATCGCCGAACCTCTAATTAGCTCAGCTTGGTTAAAAAGCTTAATAGAGGATTCTTTATCACGTGTCTTGTCTTGTCAATATCACGTGAGCACATTTAATGTCATGTCACGTGTAATCATGAGGTTTAACCCCTTCATTTGTCCCCAGAAAAACGTCTGACAGACGTTTTTTGGCTATCAGTCGTTTTCTTATCAATTCATCATCACTTGTACTTTGTAACATGTCTTTTCGTTTTGGCGGCACATTCAAAGTATTTAAATGTTGCCTTTTAAAATTCCTCCTTCTTTATAAACCGTCTTTCTTCGTAGTTTTGTTTTTCTGCTACCAGACTCTCAGACTCTTGTCATCTTCTTTCTGCTTTTTTCTTCCTCTACACTTTATCTTCTTCATGGCTCCTCTTACTCCTTCAGAAGTCCCTGCCTTCAAAATCAAATATAACATTTTAGATGACGTCGAGGTTAGAGTTGCTGGGAAAGATGAGTCATTGATCAGCACAAGAGAATCAATCCCCATTCCTACTCGTGCCATAACCGAGGGTGGGATTCATTTTCCTCTTAACCCTCTTCTTCTCTAGGTTCTCTTTACTACAAAACTTTGCCCTCTCCAATACTACCTCAACTTTTTTCGGATCGTCATGGAGGTGTCTTCTTTGAACAAGATTCTAGATTTGAGTCTTGGATTGTGGAGATTTTGTACTGCTACATCATCAAGGCCGCCAAAAATAGCTACTATCTATCGGTAAGGAAGAATGAGAGGTATTTGGTAACCCACCTTCTAGATTCAAACAAGGGTCATGAGAATGATGTGGTGTTTGTCTCTAGCAACTGGGAATACGCTCCTGGTGTCAGTCCATCCTATCGATGTCCCTACGAAGTAGACATGTCAGGTATTTGATATCATTCGCCTTCTGTTTTAACTTTGATTTTCCATTCTACTGACTTGAGTTTTCTTTTGCACAGGTGAAACTGTGAAGAGAAAGATTGTTGAGTCCTCTATAAAGATGGACCAACTTCAAAAAGTTTAGAATTTCAACGAGTCTTTGTTCTACCGAGCCGCCCACACGTTGCTCGGGTACACTCCAACTTACACTTCCTTCATTGTTGTGTTGAACTGACCCAACGCCACTTTGACTGCAGATCGGAAAGAGATCCAGTCTGCTCGGGCTCAGACTCCCCGAGCCAAGAAGAAATTGCCTCTTGCAACATCTGGGCACAGAATGGTAAAGAATTTTCTTGACTTCCTATCAACTGTTGAACCGACGCCTTCCTTCGAGCCAACTCAAACTACTCTAGTGATTCTGACTTCTGTTCTTGAGGAACCCATTCCCGAGGTTCCAACTGAAACTCCTCTTCTTAACGATGCTGATCCACCGTCCATTGGCCAAGCAAATATGGCTCAACCAATTGAAACTTCAATTCCAGTTGAGCTTGATCCTCCAGATTCTATTTTTTCTCCCATACCCGAAGATGACTCAATTTTTGAACTTGTCGAGGACCCTGCCCCGAAAAGACGGAAGACAGCCAAGTCCGAAGCGAGCCTTCCTCCTGAGCTTACCAATCCTCCCTTTTGACTAGTCCTTAGAGCAAAAAAGAGGTACTGCCAAGGACTCTACAATAAAAGATTTTAATGTTGCAATGGGAATTGCCCGAGGAGTGATTTTGCCTCGGGATCTGGTAATAAATGAAACTCTTACTAACGATGAAGTGTCTCGTCAAGCAATTCAACATATGATCCTCGTAAGTCTTGATTTTGATTTCCTTTAAGTTTTTTACTCTTTCTAAAAAAAATTCTAAGTTTTTTTCCTCTTTAATAAGGGTCTGCAAAAAGTCCATGAGGTTGGAGCTCGAATAGCTCGAAAAGACAAGGCAATGAAAGACGTCATCTATGCCCGAGCTTCGGCTCTAGCCANTCCATGAGGTTGGAGCTCGAATAGCTCGAAAAGACAAGGCAATGAAAGACATCATCTATGCCCGAGCTTCGGCTCTGGCCTAGAAGGAGAGTGTGGATGAAGAGTATGCAAAGCTCTGCGAAGAATTGAAGGTTCTACAGGCTCAAAACCAAAGCCTGACAGAGGAGAACCAAAAAATTTCTTCAGAGGTTGAGAAGCTCAAGGAGTCCGAGCATGAAGTCAGCGTAGAACTTTCTCAATCCCAGCTTGACTATTCTACCCTTCTTAAAGAATTTGATCAATACAAGTCTAAGGCAAAAGAGAGAGAAGATGCAACTTACGACGAAGGAGTTGAGAAAACTGAAAGTGACCTTGCCTTGTAGATCCCTCAACTTCAAGATGCTTTCTTTAGCAAGGGATGGTGTGCTGCACTAGTTGCTGTAGAGGTCCCTTCTATATCCGAACTTTTTTCATATATTCAGCTCCGAGCTCCTCTCATCCTCCTGCTCCTTCAAACACTTAGAAGACTTTTTTGAAATTTCTGATGTATCTGTACTTTCTAATGTACCTATTAAATGACCATGATCTTGTAAAAAAAAATTTGAAGTATGAATGTGAAACACTTTTTGGTCTTTTAGTTTCTATAATTTGCTATATGTTTTGAGAAAATATGACTTTTTGAAATCTAAGTCCTATTTTCTTTTCAGCTCTTAAGTTATGACCTCTGTTTGGCCTTTCTTCGAAAAGTTTGGTTCCTCAACTTGAACCTTTTTTATACTTGGAAAAATTTCTAGTCTCTTTGAAGTCCTGCCCCTTGCTCAGCCTTTTTTTAAAAAGTTCAGTTCCTCAACAGGAACCTTTTTATACTTAGAAAAAGTTTCAAGCCTTTTTGAAGTCTTGGCCCTTGTTTGGTCCTTTTCAAAGAGCTCGGTTCCTCAATAAGAACCTTTTTATACTTAGAAAAAGTTGTAAACCTCTTTGAAGTCTTGGCCCTTGCTCAGCCTTGTTTTCAAAGAACTCAGTTCCTCAGTAGGAACCTTTTTTACACTTAGAAAAAATTTTAAACCTCTTTCAAGTCTTAACCCTTGCTCGACCCTCTTTCAAAGAACTCAGTTCCTCAGTAAGAACCCCCCCCCCCTTTTTTTTTATACTTAGAAAAAAATTTTAGCCTCTTTGAAGTTTTGGCCCTTGCTCGGCCCTTTTTCAAAGAGCTTGGTTCCTCAATAGAGTTACTCAAAGTCTCCTTGAGATCTAAGAGTGTTTCTACTCCACACCGACTAGCCAATCTAATTGGACTCAAACCCATCCCTAGTCAGCTTACATCGTCATGCCTAGCTGAGGGCCTAGATTTGATCGGGTGACTGCGCCTCATTTAAGCTTTTGAATTTTATCAGATTTTTTGGCCTCCCTGCCTTAGTAGTAGGGCGTATATAATGCA